TTTACAGTTTAATTTTATCATATATAAGTAGAAGCTGCAGGGATAAATTTATGCAAGGGGAGGATGATTTCTATCTCCCATGTTCCCCAGAATCGAACAAGCGTTCCCATCCACCCAGTGTCCCATGAACAGTGTCCTCAACCTTCTCTAGACCTCCATTTGCTCATATGTAAAAGGAAGAAATCAGTGTGTTCTGAAGATTCTTTATAGTTCTGACAGCCTATGAATCAGAGTGGGCAGTTTATTCATGTATGTATTTATAACTGTGAGAAAGAAAGAAAATAAAAGTAGCAGGAAAAGTGGAGGTGGCTTAAAATTTATTTGATTGTAGAGGGTAGTGAGAGAGTGAGGAGAACCTTTGCATTGCTTTTCTGTCTCAGTGGCCCAGGGAGAACCACAGAACAGTGGCACAGAGCCCTATGGCAATGGAGGGTCAGCCCAGGGAGGATTGAGAATTGAGAAAGACAGAAAACAGGTCCATGCAGCATCATTTTTCTAGATTGGGAAAATGTATAGCCAATAGTTTGTGGTAGCCAGGTTCCAATGTGATAGAGGAGATAATGGGGATTGAGAATAGGTTTTAAAAATAAGGAACAGGCCAGGCGCAGTGGCTCACACCTGCAATCCCTGCACTTTGGGAGGCCAAGTGAGGCAGGTGGGTCACCTGAGGTCAGGAATTTGAGACCACCCTGGCCAACATGATGAAACCCATCTCTACTAAACACATAAAAATTAGCTGGGCATGGTGGCATACATCTATAATCCCAGCTACTCAGGAGGCTGAGGCAGGAGAATTGCTTGAACCCAAAGGCAGCGCTTGCAATGAGCCATAATGGCGCCACTGTACTCCAGCCTGGGCAACAAGAACAAAACTTCAACTATAATAATTAATAATAATAATAATAATAATAATAGTAAGGAACAGTGACAGATGGCCCACAGCCCCTGAGAGATGTCCAAGACATGGTGTTGTATAAACCCCAGGTATGTGGCTCCCTGGGGGACACTTATCACGATGTTTTTGTAGTGAGGGCTGAATGAGGCAGGATGCCAGCATCACTCTGCAGGCACAGACTGCAGATAAACCACCCTGACTCATATCTCCAACTGAAATAACACCTTGAACCAGCCAACTTCCTTTCCCTCTCCATCAGGAATGTTTTATCCTCTTATTTGTTTGGATCATGTACATCAGATTCCATTCTCTCTGGTACACCACTACACCCTGGGGTAAACTACAACTGCCGAAATAGCAAATAGTACCTCCTTAGAAAGAAACCCAAGAAATGGCTCCAATCTACTAACTACATGCACGGAAGAAATTATCATTGTATGACCTATCCCATTTATCTGACCTCGTTCATTTATTCTCCTGCTTATGTATTCATTCGCACACTCAACATTGGGCTGTTACAAGCTATGCACCTTGGGAAAATAATTTCACCTCTGTGCTTCATTTTCTTCCCCTATAAAAATGCATAATAAGAGTATATACTTCATAGGGTTATTTTTAGGATTAAGTGAGTTATCACATGTGAAATGCTTAGAACACTGGCACAAATTAAGTACCATGTGAGCATTAAATATCATCATCATCATCATCAATTAGTATTAGTATTATGTAGTAAGCTAAGCACTCTGCTAGCCACTGTGGATTCCAAGGCAGTCCTTGACCTTGCCAGCATACAATGGTCAAAAATAGTTGCTTTATAAAAAGTGTTATCATTGTCGATACTGCAGAAAATTTCTTTGAGACATGGTAAGGGGGTAGAATGAAACAGATATTTACAGAATGGGTGTGGGAGTGGGATGGGGAGGAGTCTGATGTGGGTACAGGGAGAGATGGCGGTGCCATTGATACACAGAGTGAGTGGACTGAGGGACATTTAAGATGCATAGCTGGATCTTATGCTAAGATGAGAGATCTGGAATAGATACAACTGCAGGAGGGAATGAGAGTCGGCAATGAGTGTGAAGACCTCTATGCCTTTTTGCACGCTATTACTCAAAATATCTTAGCTTTGCATGTCAACCATGCATCTTCTCAGGCATCAAGCTCCACTGGGGTATCTTTATCTGAGTACTGCCTCCAATGGAGTGAACCACTCTTTATGCCCCAAGTTTGTAACTTACACATGCTTACTTGATTGCACATGCCACGCTAAAAGCATGATCAGTTTATACATCTCTGTCCCTGACTTAGATATGTCTACCCTAAGGAATGGAGATTAATTCCTAGACATCTTCATATTTCCACATCCTAGCATGGTGCCGGGATCACATCCATACTTTTCTCAGCTTAATACATAAATAAGCATAAATAAGACATAGTTCTGCAAATAACTTATAATTTTATTATGACTTTAGGCCAGGTATAACTGTATGAAATCTTTTTTTTTTTTTTGAGATGGAGTCTCACTCTGTTGCCCAGGCTGGAGTGCAGTGGTGTGATGTCGGCTCATTGCAACCTCTACCTCCCAGGTTCAAGTGTTTCTCCTGCCGCAGACTCCCGAGTGCCTGGGACTACAGGCATGTACCACCACACCCAGCTAATTTTTGTATTTTTAGTAGAAATGGGGTTGTACCATGTTAACCAGGATGGTCTCAATCTCCTGACCTCATGATCCACCCGCCTCGGCTTCCCAAAGAGCTGGGATTACATGTGTGATCCACTGTACCCAGGTGAAATCTTAACAGAAGCCCAATACAAGATAAGAGATATCTCAAAGAGGCATAGCAGTAACTTTTATGTGAGTAGTCGAGGGTGACAGATTTAAAACATTATTGGCCACATAACTCTTTCAGTAAAAAGATTTTGGGCACAACTTGCCATATATAATTTATTAACCTGTAAATTATATGCATGTCTTATTTTACTATTGTGCTGTGTACATCAAAAATGCACACAAAGATAAAAACTAAAGGATGATGCAATAAAAATATAAGTAGAAGTGCCAATATTTTCTTCCTATGCCCAGTGGATTGTCTTAGCACACCATTTAGATACCAGCAAGCCTAGAGCACAGCCATTCAGAATGGGGTCCCCCAGCGAGGCAAAGGCCATTCTGTTACTAGTCTACAACTGAAAAGGCAAAGAAATGAAGAGTAAGCATCTAGTAACTTCCATAGTGATGTTAGTAGGTTAATGTATGCCTGCTGCATGTGATCATTAAACCTGGTCTTGTGTTTTGTATCTCTTTGTTTCTTATTTCATTCTCTATTTACTAAACTAATTTAGTAATTAACATTTATTATATAAAAGTACTGCTCTCACAGTGGATTGGAAACTAAAGAGAAATCAAAATAAAACCTGGTCTTTCACCACAGAGAGCTTGAGAAGCACTAGAACGGACAAGACTTAGAGCCATTAGCTGGGAGGGCCTTGGAGAGCAAGTCCCTGCAGAATGATGGGGTCCTCTGGCTCCAGAATTGGGGGGGCAGCATTGTGGCTGCAGTGGACTAGAGAGGGATCCTGGAGGCCAGAATAAGGACAGAGAAGTCTTTTCTCTCGACTGCTCCCTGCCCCTGGGCTGGGCTGTCTGATCTCTTCTGAGCTCCCTGAGGTCTCTACACAGCACACAATAAATGCTGTTGATCTGAACAGAATTGGGGTGTTTGGGGAGAATTGCATAAGGGAAGTCTGAAGATCTGAAGGAGCTTCACCCCTTACAAGGGTGCTAATTCTGTCCCCGGATTGATGGTGAGTGTCTGCCTTCCCTTCTCTGTCCCCTAACATGCCACTTGCCATTCCTGATCTGAACTCTAAGCACTTTGCTTTAGCACCTTCTCCCCTTCCCTGTTGACAATCCATAAATGGTTGTTGGCAAGGCCAATGACAATATTAACACACCCTTCTATTCTCAGTCATCCTGCATTGATACCATTTAATTGGCTGTGTTCCCCAGTAGGTTCATAGTTCTTTTGTTCTTGCTTAACCATCAAATCTAGCCACACGTCAGAGCTGGCAATTCATGAAGTGAGTCCGTGCAAAATGGGGCAATTTAGCAAGCGGTGTTCCATTTATAACCTTGCTGCTTGACATGGGCAGTGAGAGCTCTTCTATTAAAATGCACAGTCACCAGTCCCTGTCCTGACAGCTGTCTAATCATGGGCACAGGGAACACTTCCAGGTGCTGGCTGTGAGACCCCTTCTCACAGCAACTCTGAGCCAGTGACAGGTGTGTACTACATAGCTCTGCCCCTGGTTTCCAGGACTTCTCTGGAAAAGATGAAGGTTGGAGCATATAAGAGCTCGCATTTGTGAAGCATTTAATATGGGCCAGGCTCAGTTTTACGTGCTTAAAATGCATAATCTCATTCTCACCTCCCCAAGTCCTTTGAGGAAGGGATTCCTTTTTTCAATTGTGGTAAATATTTCAACACGTAAACTGTTGTTAAGCAAACAGCTGGGTGGCATTAAGTACATTCCCACTGCTGAGTAGCCATCACTGTCTTCATTTCCAGCACTTTTGCATCTTCTCAAACTGAAACTCCATACCCATTATTAAACACTAACATCCCCCTGGTCCCTGGCAACCCGCTACTTTCTGTCTTTATAAATAAATTCATCTATTCTAGGAATGAGGATGGTACTTTTCTTATTATCCCCATTGCAAAAGAGGAAACTGAAGAACAGACAGTTTAAATAAACTGCCCAAAGAAACACCACTAGCAAACAGAAGAGCTGGGATTAGCACTCAAGAAGTCTGGCTCTGGAGCCTACCAGGCCATGCTAAAGAGAACAGAGGACCCGCTGAGGAGAGGAAAAAGAACCTCTTTTCCTTAATGCCTCCTGCATTCCCAACACATGGCTGCAGCCAGATCAGAAGCAGGAGAGGGGTGGCCACGTGCTCCTCCCTCCAGGACCCAAGGTGGAGAAAAAGAGCCTGGGATGGTTTCCACTGCTCTGTTTATCCCCTCCTAGTACCTCCTACCACTACTACCAACTTCCACGGCGCGCGCGCGCGTGCACACACACACACACGCACACACGTCACAGTGTCAAGAATTTGAGTTCTGGTTCCAGACAGACCTGGTTCCAGGTACAGTTCCGTGATGTGCTAAATGTCTGCCCTTTTCTGGGTTTCCATTTCCGCTTCATTCATGCGAGGATGACGTCATCTCTCTTACATATGCTGCAGAATGTCTGACAGACAGCAGAAACTCGGTAACTGTGAACTCCCGGTCCACTTCTCCACTTCACCCTAAAAGGAAACTGAAAAACTCTGTGGATGCCCTGGGGCCCAGCCAGCCTGGGGCTGCTCTCCATATCAGGTGTGCTGGGGCAAGAGGAATGAGGAAGAGGAAGAGGCAGAGTTGAGGGGAAGGACTGGTTGGGATCCATCGATTCTGAGGGAATGAAATAAAATCCCCAGAAAAATATGCATGCCTCTTGCAACTTAAGCATTGGCAGGACAATTAGAACAAGGGGAGGCTGGTGGGCACCCAGTAATACTGGTGCTGTAAAACGCCAAGCCCCTGCCTGAACTTTTGTCCCTTGACCAGGGGGCAGGCTGGACAGCTCCTGCTGGGTAGGTTGTGCTCTCCCGCTGTAGCCCCAGTGCCTCAGGGAAGGTGGAGCATGCTGAGGAGGGTGTGGTAAATACATGTGGAACCAATGAGTGAGTGAATGCATGGTGCCTGACCACAGTGCCCAGTGTGTTTTTACTCAGGAAAAACAAACAAATGACCTGGACAAATATTTCAGGATGGATTTCCCTACACCCTCCACAGGAATTTAAAAAATGGCCAAGGGCAGGGGTAGTATAAGTGGAGAGACTGACTTTGATTGATACTTTCAGCCACCTAGAGCATTAGACACAGTTTCTAAAGCTCTTCATCCCAGAAGTTGATTACTAAGTGAAAGAAGCTGATCTGAAAAAGGCTATACAGCATGAGTCCAACAATTGGACATTTTGTAAAAGGCAAAACTGTGGGCACTCTAAAAAGATCAGTGGTTGCCAGGGGTTGAGGGGAGGGAAGGATGAACAGGCAGAGCACAGAAGATGGTTGAGGCAGTGGATCTATTCTATGTGATACTGTGGAGGTGGTTACATGTCAATCAGTAGACACTGTCCAAACCCACAGGATGCACAACACCCTGAGTGAGCGCTGGTGTGAACCATGCCTCTGGGTAATGTGTAGATACAGCTCCATCAGCTGTAACTGATGTACCCCTCTGGTGGGGGATGTTGATAATGGGCAAGGCTGTGCATGTGTGAAGGTGGGAGTCTATGGGAAATCTCTGTACCTTCTCTCAATTTTTCTGTACAACTAAAACTTCCCTTAAAAAACAATTTTTTTTTTTAAAGGAATTTGAAGGGCCTGAAACTCTGGGCTATTCTGAGCTCTGCTGGGTCTGTGGCTGGCTAGAAGGCAAGAAGAGAGGAAGGTGCTGTGCTTTCTAAGTCCCTTCTCTTCTTTTTTGTTTTTGTTTGTTTGTTTTGAGACAGTGTCTTGCTCTGTCACCCAGGCTGGAGTGCAGCGCTGCAATCATGGCTCACTGCAGCCTGCATCTCCTAAGCTCAAGCAATCCTTCTGCCTCAGCCTCCTGAGTAGCTGGGACCACACGTATGCACCACCACGGCCAGCTAATTTTTTAAAAAGTTTTTGTAGAGATGGGGCTCAACACATTGCCCAGGCTGGTCTTGAACTCTTGGGCTCAAGTGATCCTTCTGCCTCAGCCTCCCAAAGTGCTAAGATTATAGGCATGAGCCCCCATACTCGGCCATATTTTCTCCTCTTTTCAGGGAGCAGCATGAAACAAACAAAAGGTAACCTATGTCTACTCTCGTGGAAAACAGGGGGCTGCTTCAGGAGGATGTTTGAAACAAGTAAGGGTTCCAGAAACAAGCGCATGCCTCTCAAGGATCTGTGCTGCCCGGAATTGGCTAGTGAAAAAATGTAGAAGGGGAGAATATCCATCAGACCAGAAAAACAGAGACACGGAATAGAAACCGAGAAGGTGGAAACGGAAACAATGACTACAGAGAAATAGACTCCACACCACAGAAAGTGACGGGAAAAGGCAAAGGGGAGAACAGCAAAGCCAGAGAGTGGAGTGGGGAGTGAAAGCAAGCTACCAAGACAGAGCCGGGAAGAGTGAGACAGAACAAGCCTCAGCCTCCAAGTATAGAAATTTAACGATTAACTATGTGAGCCACTGTGTGGCTCCCAGTTCTTCCCGTTCCTCAAAATATAATAGATCTCAGTGTTCAGTGAAACTAAAGTTCAGAACCTACTGCAAAATTGCTTGGTTCCTCAAACTCTTCAAATGTTTTCCTTGTGCAAACAAAAGAGCAAAAATGCCCTCTCCCGTTTTTTTTTTTTTTTTTTTAAGGCTACGTAATTTCCAAGATTTTGGAAAGCAAAATCCACAAGTGTGATCCTGGAAGGTGACTAAGCTGGACAACTGGGCTTCGAGGCATATTGTTACAGAGATAAGATACTTTATGACATCAAAAGGAACTCAGCTCTGATGCCATGTGTGCAGGTCAGCCTGGAAATTGGGTCAAGAGTGAATATCAAAGGTTAATATCACAGGCCCTGGAGGCGAGAGATTCTCCATGGATTCTTCTTGTGAATTGGAGGGGCCAAGTGTCTTTCATCTTCTGGGCTCCACATGGGAGGGGCCCGCTCGCCCAGGGAGGCCATCAAGTCCAGGCCCAGATGTCTCACTCCTGCAGCCGACAGACTCTATAAACAAGCTGTTGGGTCAGAGAGCCCTCGGACTGGGGCCCAGTGAGCTGCGTTACTGAGGCAGTCAACTCTCAGTGGTAAGAGAGGCCCCGGCCGTTCCCTCCATTCACCCCAGTGTGCTCCTCAAGTTGTCATTTCCTGATACTTTAACAGGAAAAAGTATGGCAACATTGCCGAATAAAATGTCTGGCTCTTGGCCGGGCACAGTGGCTCATGCCTATAATCCCAGCACTTTGGGAGGCCGAGGTGGGTGGATCAGGAGGTCAAGAGATTGAGACCATCCTGGTCAACATGGTGAAACCCCGTCTCTACTAAAAATACAAAAATTAGCTGGGCATGGTGGTGCGTGCCTGTAGTCCCAGCTACTTGGGAGGCTGAGGCAGGAGAATTGCCTGAACCCAGGAGGCAGAGGTTGCGGTGAGCTGAGATCGTGCCATTGCACTCCAGTCTGGGTAACAACAGCGAAACTCCATCTCAAAAAAAAAAAAAAAAAAAAAAATGTCTGGCTTTTTAAAAGTCAGTATTCCCTATGTGGTCAGAAACCTAAGATCCCATCTGAGGGGCCTGATTGCCAAAGGGTCCTTTATATAGGGCTTCATACACCACCAGATCCTTCTACCTTTTCCTTTCCATGACCCCATGGAGACAGAATAAGCAGAAATCTAACAGGGTCTGACTGTCATGGGGCAGCACCAGGCCTAACGGGACTATTGACTCTTTCTTTAATAACCACTAGGGGAAAAGCCTCAGAATATCCGTGAAATTCCACAGAGTCACCAAGGAAAAACAAGTGTCCACGACAAGGGTCTGCACTTATTCCAAAGCTTCTGCCGCTTCTGTTAAGATGGCTGAACTTTAATTTTATTTTTATGTTTTGAGACAGAGTCTCACTTTGCCCAAGTTAAAGTGCGGTGGCATCATCTCGGCTCACTGCAACCTCCACCTCCTAGGTTCAAGTGGTTCTCCTGGCTAAGCCTCCAGAGTAGCTGGGACTGCAGGCGTGCGCCACCATGTCCAGCTAACTTTTGTGTTTTTAGTAGAGATGGGGTTTCACCATGTTAGCCGGGCTGGTCTGGAACCCCTGACCTTAAGTGATTTGCCTGCCATGGACTCCCAAAGTGCTGGGATTAAAGGCGTGAGCCACTGCACCTGGCCAGTTGAACTTTATTCTTTATTGATAATTAAGAAGTGCTACCTTGTATTGAGCAATCATTATGTATTGCTAAATACATTTTATATGTTATTTTATGTAACTTTTATGCAATATTTCAGCGATTGGATACAGTAACTCAGGTGTCGCTATCCCCAAATTTTTGATGAGGAATCTGAAGTTCAGAGAATTTAAGTAACTGCTCCATGGTTATTTATATAGGGTTGAGGGTCTGAACCAATTCCCTCTTATCCCTAAGTCTGCACTCAACCAGTATACTGTGGCACCATTTATTTTAACAAGAAGCATTGCCAATAGATACAAAGCACAAAAGTTATGGTTCATCCAAAGGAAAGATAGACTTCAGGAATCTGCTTGCATGCCCCTGGCTCTGGGCACCTCACCTGTGCAATTCCAGACCAGGCCATCTGTCCCCAAGAGGCCACTGGCTTCAGTACCTTCTACCCTGTGGGGAAGAGCCGTTCTCTCCCCACTTATGGGGGATCATCTGCTTAAACTAGGTCAGAGTCGTAATCATTCATTTCCAGAAGGGGCTATGATTCACATCTGAGCTTCAGGAAATGGTGTTAGTTTAATTTAAAGGGGAGATGAAAGCAAAATAAATGCTCAGATGCTGACAGATTTCTCCAGATCTTAATTTACATTCGTTTTGCTTTCAGAGCATTTGATTTGTTTTTATTTTCAAACTGTGTTGTACCACATGCAAGGAAAATAGATTTACTTAATCTGTATCCTGTGATTTCATTGTTTATTGATGTCAATACCAAGTAGATGAGGAGTGCTAAGAGAGGAGCATCAGATGATTTTCCATCTTTCCTCTAGGAAGTCAGAACGAGAACCATCAAGCTTAGGACTTTCAGAGGCTTGGACAGTCTTCAGGGCTGACAGCCACACTGAGCGTCACTTCCCCAGATGCTCCCTTGTAGTCGGACTGACCCTGGCACAAATGCAACTGGGAGACTTTAGTCCCCTCCCTAGGAATAGGATGTGTGTGTCTAAACGCGCTCTGCATTTAGCTCGAGTGTTGACATTCACTGATCCGTAAATGTTTCAAAGGAGAGAAGCATTCCAGCCTGGCTTTCCACGGAGGCAGAGAATCAGGCCTTTCAGGACTGGGGCAGGGGGCCTCTTAGGACAATCACCACAGCTTCCTATTCATGCCCCGGCTCCCATTGGCTTTGTCTCTCCTTTGTTCTACACAGAGCTGACATCATAATATGATCTTACACCTCCCTATTCAGAATTCTTCACCATTAGCTATTAAAATAAATAAACAGTAACAGCCCACGGCCAGTCCTTCCCTTTGTTTATCCAATCATTTGACAAATGCTTTTTGAGTACTTGCTCTGAGCCAGCCACAGTACAGCTCTGGCCAGCCTCTCCAGCCACATCTACTCCACCATCCCCCAACTCCACACCCTACTCTCCGCTTACTCTTCAGTGCTTCTGTTTCCTGAGCCTGATGCTCGCTTTCCCTCCTCTATGTCTTTGCCCAAGCTGTTTCCTGTGGGCAAATTCCTCTCTTCTACACACATATATCCGAGTTCTACACTTCAAAGACAACTCAAATGCCACTTTCTCTATGAAACCTTCTTGGATATCCCCAAGTCAGCATTAATTCTCTGACCACCTGCAGCCTCCTCTAGCCCCTAGAAAAAGTAGCTGCTCCCTTTCTAATTCCTTGACCACCATGCTCTTTCCAATCCCTTTACTATTTTCTTACACCTTGGTAGCATTACTTCTTGACCACTATCCATTGAAAGAAGAGTCCATGTTTGTTCTCCTCCCTCCACCTAAGTCCAGAACAAAGCCTCTCAGAGTACTTACAAGTAAATGGGCACATAAACACTTTCTCCTCTGTTCTTGTGGAACTGTGTTCATAATTAGGTTCCTGATCACACTCTGGTGTTAGAAACACCTGTGCTGTGTAGATAATTGTCAACCACTTAAGGGCAAAAACTCTTGTTTTGTATATCTTTTTCATCTCTTACCACATTTGAAATTTCATCTCTTACTGCATCTTACCTCACTCAGAGTGGTCCCTCACTAAGATGAAAGGTCGCTATTAGGATGAAACGTTAAAAATTAAATTCCCTTCTTTCCCAGGTGGGCCTAAGTGGGTACTAGGAGAAGACCTAGGGAGTGCTGACGAGGTCATGCTATCTTGGCATCCAGTTCCATTCAGCTAACATTTATGAGAACAACATATGTGTGCCATTAATATTAATGTATTGATATAGTAAATTAATGGTGTTAATAAGTAATATTATTCATTATTAATCTTATTAGCTGAGAACCTGTTAAGTGGGCCACATCTGAGGGCCAAACTGGAGAAACAGACATAGAATATGACATGATTCTCCTTTCTGGGAGGTTACAACAAAAATATAGAAAATAGAGCTACATGAAAACACAGCCAAGCTCTACAGCGGTGGTTTGTGAGTACTGGCTGAGGACTTGTGCTGATCCATAACTAAGCATCCATTGATCTATGATGAGGAGTGGAAAAAATTAAGTTCACTTTATTGAGGGCTAAATTTATTTCAAGTGAAGGACTGTTCACTATTCCAGGAGTATATCCTTTGTACTTTAGTGTGTGGGTATGTTCTTTCATATTGACATGATGTGATGACAGGTGAGTGCTTTTTGGTTTGAAAACTAAAATGTTGAGACTCTAATGTTGATCCTGTCAATTATTTTTTATTTTAATTTTGCTGTCCTATGAAATTCAAACCTGGAATCCACCATTTTCCCCTATAGAACTTTGTGATCTTGAAGATGCATCTATGTGGTAGATAGAGTGAAGACAAGCCTGTTTTCCATTAAACATCATAGCCCTATCTACAGGGGTTCCAGCAACCTCTTCATGCAGAGGTAGAGTGCCCATCTCCTTGGGCATGAGAACTGTTTGAGAGCTTTAACTTTCTTGAGACGAGTCCAGCTCTGCTAAGTTGGCTGTCAAAAACAAGGTTCTCCTTGCGGATTTTTTCTTCAGGAACCCCACCAAGGGCTTCCCGGGAAGATCAAAGAGAAAGCTTCCCTTGTGGTGCTGTCTGGAGAACAGCAAATACTGGAACCCCGTCACCACTCTCTTCCCCAAGGAAGGAAATATTCAGCAGGAAGCACAACACAGCTATAGTCTAAAGGCACTGATGGAAATTCATTGAAGCTGGGATAAGGGAATAGAGAGGAAAAGGAATGCTCTACCTGTGGTAAAGAGGCAGGAATTCATGCTGAGTGTAGCATTACATCTGGAGAAGGATGAGAACACCTGAGAGAGCCACAACCCTGAGTTCCAGATTGACCGTGACTGCCTACAACCGAGGCTTAATCAGAACATCAGAGAAGGGACCCTCCCGGTACCTACCACCTCCATGCTGTCAAGCATTAAGTAAAAACATCACTGGAATGCAACTGGGAGAGTGGCAAAAGGCAGTTCTGTCTCCAGAGCCGTGCAAAGGGAGACTCAAATCCAAGCAGAAATGAGAGAAGTCACTCAGGGAACAGACATGGACAAAAGTCCTCTTTTACATTACTCTACACTATAAATACAAATTAGTGTTAAAGGAATTGGAAGACTTTGGTGCACTAAGGGTAACAGCAACATAGACTTCAAACCCAGCCCAGCTTCTGACTACATTAACATAAACTCTCTACACTAAAGATCTACCAAAAGGAAAAGTGGATTCATTTCAAGAATAAAAAATATTCCCCTCATTATCTACTGTCCTATACAACATGTCCAGTTTTGAACAACAAGTCCAAGGCAACAATAAGGCAAAGAAAAACAAAGTCTGAAGAAAATCACTAAAACCAGATTCATAAATGACATAGGTGTTGGAGCTATCAGATTAGGAATTCAAAATAACTCTGATTTATATGTTAAAAACTCTAATGAAAAAAGCAACAGGGATCAGATAGGTAATTTCGTCAGGCAGTTGAAAACTATAAGAAAAAATCAAAGGAAAATACTAGAAATCAGCCGGGCGCGGTGGCTCATGACTGTAATCCCAGCACTTTGGGAGGCGGGTGGATCACGAGGTCAAGAGATCAAGACCATCCTAGTCAACATGGTGAAACCTCATCTCTACTAAAAATACAAAAAATTAGCTGGGCACAGTGGCGTGTGCCTGTAATCCCAGCTACTCAGGAGGCTGAGGCAGGAGAATTGCCTGAACCCAGGAGGCGGAGGTTGCAGTGAGCTGAGATTGCGCCATTGCACTCCAGCCTGGGTAACAAGAGTGAAACTCCATCTCAAAAAAAAAGAAAATACTAGAAATCAAAAACCAGAAACAGAGATAAAGAATTTTATCAGTGGGTTCATCAGTAGACTTGACATAGCTGATGGAAGAATCAGTAAGTCAGTACCCTTGAAGATAGGTCAACAGAAATTACCAAAATTGAAACACAATTTATAACATACTAAGTCAATTTTTAGAAGATAAAAATGGTCCAGGTGCGGCGGCTCATGCCTATAATCCCATCACTTTGGGAGGCCAAGGTGGGAGAATCACCTGAGGTCAGGAGTTCGCAACCAGCCTGGTCAACATGGTGAAGCCCCATGTCTACTAAAAATACAAAAAAATTCTCTGGGCATGGTATGGGATCCTGTAATCCCAGCTACTCGAGTGGCTGAGGCAGGAAACTCACTTGAACCTGGGAGGTGGAGGTTGCAATGAACCAAGATTACGCTACTGCACTCCAGCCTACATGACAGAGGGAGACTCTATCTAAAAAGAAAAAATTAGCCAGGTGTGGTGGCACACACCTGTAATCCCAGCTACTCTGGAGGCTGAGGCAGGAGAATCTCTTGAATCCAGAAGGTAGAGGTTGCAGTGAGCCAAGATCACATCACTGCACTCCAGCCTGGGCAACAAGAGTGAGATTGTCTTAAAAAAAAAAAAGACAAAAAATAGAATTATCATGAAAAATTTCAGTTAATCCTAGAGAAGACAGAAAAAGAAAATGGAAGCCAAGAAAAACTAGAACAAATAGAAATCATTGAGCAAGGTAGCAAGTTTTAATCCAATCATATCAATAATCATTTAAAATATGGATGGTCTAAAAACACCACTTAAAAAGCAGATACTGGCTGGGAGCGGTGGTTTAAGCCTCTAATCCCAGCACTTTGGGAGGCCAAGGCAGGCAGATTGCTTGAGGTCAGGAGTTTGAGACCAGCCTGGCCAACATAGTGAAACCCTGTCTCTGCTAAAAATACAAAAATTAGCCAGATGTTGTGGCACATGCCTGTAATCCCAGCTTCTTGGGAGCCTGAGGCAGGAGAATCACTTGAACCTGGGAGGCAGAGGTTGCAGTGAGCTGAGATCACACTACTGCACTCCAGCCTGGATGATATAGTGACACTCTGTCTCAAGAAAGAGAGAGAGAGAGAGAGAGAGAGAGAGAGAGAGAGAGAGAGAGAGAGAGAGAGAGAGAGAGAAAGAAGAGAAGAGAAGGAAAGAAAGAAAGAAAGAAAGAATGGATACATAGCAATAGTGTAACATTGGATTTTTTTAAAAGATCCAATTTTATACCATCTTCCGGAACCTCATTTTAATCTATGTAAGACTATCTCACTCTGTTACCCAGGTTGGAATGCAGTGGCATGATCATGGCTTACTGCAGCCTCAGCCTCCTGGGCTAAAGCAATCCTCCTACCTCAACCTCCCCAGCAGCTGGGACCATAGGCATGAGCCATCATGCCCAGCTGATTATTCACTGTTTGTAGAGATGAAGTTTCCCTATGTTGCCCAGCTGGTCTTGAACTCCTGGGCTCAAGCAATCCTCCTACCTCAGCCTCCCAAAGGGTTGATATTACAGCCATGAGCCCTCATGCCTAGTCATGAACCCCACTTTTAATATAAAGACATAGATTGGTTAAAAGTGAAAGGTTGGAGAAAGATACACATGCAAATTCTAACTAAAAGAAAGCTTGAATAGTTATATTAATTTCAGGGAAAATGGTCTTCAGAACAAGGAATATTATCAAGAATAAAGAGAGACATATAAAGACAAAGTAGTCAAGTCACCGAGAAGACATAACAATCCTAAATATGTATGCACCTAACAACAGAGCTTCAAAAACAAAGATGTTTCCTTAATTGGTAACAGTCATTGCACTGCAGGATTTGGTCATGGACTCTATAGCTTTGAACTCTTTCAAATAGTAACAAAAGATACATTCATGATATAGTCATATTAAGTCAAGGAATTCCTTGACAGATAAGCATACCACCCATTTCTATAGTTTGAATTTTTCTTTCTAATCCAGTGAAATCATTAGAAAGCTGTGCACCTGAACTGCAATATTTTAGTCCTTCATGGAACTGTTGTTTTTTTTTTTTTTTTTTTTTTTTTGAGACGGAGTTTCGCTCTCGTTACCCAGGCTGGAGTGCAATGGCGCGATCTTGGCTCACCGCAGCCTCCGCCTCCTGGGTTCAGGCAATTCTCCTGCCTCAGCCTCCTGAGTAGCTGGGATTACAGGCACACGCCACCATGCCCAGCTGATTTTTTTGTATTTTTAATAGAGACGGGGTTTCACCGTGTTGACCAGGATGGTCTCCATCTCTTGACCTCGTGATCCACCTGCCTCAGCCTCCCAAAGTGCTGGGATTACAGGCGTGAGCCACCGCGCCTGGCCGGAACTGTTTTCTTAATTGTACTTCAATGTTCTGCCAGCAACTTGAACTGAGCGATATTATGAGAAACAAACTACAATTCCCTATGGGGTTTACCATAGGGCTATTGTTGAGAAAGCTCTCCCTTGTATCCCAGTGTTCTTTTCATAAGGGCTCATGAGAGAGATTTTGTTTAGGTTTCAGAAGTAGGAAGTCTCTATTTTCTCTGGTCATAATTCTGTATTTCCTTTGGCAGCTGGGAAGCTCTGAAGAAGATTTTTAGCTCATGTAAATTTATGGCATGCATTTTTTAATACTAAGCATACCTGTGAATTTATTTTACTTTCCTATCCTTATTTTCCTTTATCTCAATTTTCCTATCTGTTTATTTTTATTTTGCTACGGTTTTGCTGTAGTTTTTCTTTTAAAACCAATTTTCTTGAGGCATGATTTGCATGCAATAAAATGAATCCATCTTAAGTGTATAGTTCAACACATTTTGACAAATATTATCATATAATTTTTGTTAGCCATATAAAGGCAATTTTGAAATAAGTAAACACAAATATCATGAGACAGTCTGTGCTAATCATCATCATAGAGATATAAGTGACTATGGGAATATGAGAGAGGAAGAAAAATTCTGACTGGATGGATAATGGGATCAGAAGGGGTGCAGCTCTTAAAAAATAGTTCTCATTTTGAAAAGTAATATCTCTCCTTCAGTTTTAAAATTGGAAATTCGACAGATCAATGTGGCAGGAAAGGTAAGCTGGAAAAGGAAATAGCTTGAATAAAAACATGAAGTAAGAAAGGTAGGCACTGTTTCAGTTCAGCTGGAGTAGAAGGTGAGAGGAAAAAGAATATGGAGAAATGAGCTTCTTTGTCACCTTGTAGGAGGTTCTCAAAGCCAAACAATCTTTCCACATTGTTGTGCAGGCAATTGGGAGCCAGAGAAGGTTTTCAGTAGAGAAGATACATAATGAGACGTGTTTTAGAAAGGTCACTCTGAGTAGATGAGGGTCTGGAGGTAAAGGGGCTGGTGGAAAGGCTTCTTCAGCAGTCCAGGGATGATATAATGAGGAACTGGACCAATCATTGTGAGAATGAGGGACAGATGGAATGAGCTGCACTGTGGCAGGAAATCTCTAGGAAGGGTCAAAGGATGGTTTCCAGGATGCCTGGGAGAGAGACTGATTACATAAACGCCAGGAGGATGGGCATCCCCATGATTCCTGTTCTAGACAGAAGAGTGGCAGGCCCTTGGGTCTTACCTCTCACAACCTCTACAAGTGGAGAAAGTGCAAGTACCAATCAAAAACCAACCTCTATTTGGGCTGATCATAGTAGTCAGTCCCTTTCCAGTCAGTCCCTGTAACCAGAGCCAATGGTGTATATAATATAATAGGTAACTATTTAGTGAGGTAACAATTTTACCTCAATAAAAAAAATGAATAAGGCCAGGCACAGTGGCTCATGCCTGTAATCCAAGCACTTTGGGAGACCAAGGCAGGTGGATAACTTGAGGTCAGTAGTTCAAGACCAGCTTGGCTAAGAAAGTGAAACCCCATCTCTACTAAAAATACAAAAAATTAGCTGGGTATGGTGGTGCACACCTGTAATCCCAGCTACTTGGGAAGCTGAGGCAGGAGAATTGCTTGAGCCCAGGAGGCAGAGGTTGCAGTGAGCCAGTATCATGCTAGTGCACTCCAGCCTGGCCAAAAGAGCAAGATTCCTTCTAAAATAAAATAAAAAATACGTGAATAAAATGATAATAACTAATACCTAAAATGACAGTTACTCTCTGAGGCACTATTCTAAGCACTTTACTTATTTTAACTCATTATTCCTCACAGAATTACTATGAGTTAGAAATTATTATATACTCATTTAACAGATGAGAGAATCAAGGCAGAGAGAATAACAATCTTGTTCCAGATCACATAGCTGGTAAAGAGTAGAACCAGATCCAAACCAGGCATCTGCTTCCAGAGTCCACACTCTGTTGCATCATGCTCTAATGCTGATAACTCTGTGTATTAGTTCATTCTTACATTGTTATAAAGAATTGAGACTGAGTCGTTTATAAAGAAAAGAGGTTTTATTGGCTCACAGTTTCACAGGCTACACAGGAAGCATGACTGAGGAAGCCTCGGGAAACTTATAATATTGGTAGAAGGTGAGGGGGAAGCAGGCTCATCTTATGTGGCTGAAGCAGGGGGAAGAGAGTAAAGCGGAAGGTGCTACATACTTTTAAACAGCCATATCTCATGAGAACTCACTCACTATCATGAGAACAGCAAGGGGGAAATCCACCCCCATGATCCAGTTACCTCCCACCAGGCCCTTCCTTCAACATTGGGGATTATGACTTGACATGAGATTTGGGCAGGGACACAAATCCAAACCATTATTCCACCCTTGTCCCCTCTCAAATCTCATGTCCTTCTCACATTGCAAAATATAATCATCACTTTTCAACAGTCTCCTGAGTCTTAACTCATTTCAGCATTAATTCAAAAGTCCACATTCCAAAGTCTTGTCTGAGACAAGGGAAATCCCTTATACCTATGAGACTATAAATCAAAAACAAGTTAGTTACTTCCAAAATACAATGAGAGTATAGGCGTTGGGTAAATACATCCATTCCAAAAAGGAGAAATCATGTAAAACAAAGGTTCCATAGGCCCCATGCAAGTCTGAAACCCAGGAGGGCAGTCATTAAATCATAAAGCTCTAAAATAATTTCCTTTGATCCCATGTCTTATATCCAGCCCACCCATCAGCAAGGGGTGGGCTTCCAAGGCCTTGGACATCTCTGCCCCTTTAGCTCTGCAGAGTACAGCCCCTTTCAGCTGCTTTCATGGGCTGGTGCCTGCAGCTTTTCCAGGTACATGGAGTCTGGAGGATGGTGGCCCTCTTCTCATTAGCACTGGGGCAATGCCCCAGTGGGGACTCTGTGGGGGCTCCAATCCCACTTTCCCCTCCACCTTGCCCTAGTAGAGGTTCTCCATGAGGGCTCCACCCCTGCAGCAGACTTCTGTGTGGACATCCTTCCATGCCCATATATCCTATGAAATCTAGGCAGAAGCTCCCAAGCCTTAACTCTTGTCCTTTATGCACTTGCAGGCTTAACACAATGTGGAACTGCCAAGGCTTATGGCTTGTACACTCTGGAGCAGCAGCCTGAGACCTATCTGGGGCCCTTTAGCCATGCCTGGAACTGGAGTGGCTGGGACACAGGGAGCAGTGTTCTGAGGCTGTGAAGGGCAGCAAGGCCCTGGGCCCAGCCCATGAAACCATTCTTCCCTCCTAGGCCTCCAGGCTTGTAGTGCAAGAGGGCTTCCACCAAGGTCTCCAAAATGCCTTCAAGGCATTTTCCCATTGTCTTGGCTACTAACATTAGACTCATCATTACTTGTGCAAATTACTGCAGCTGGCTTGAAGTCCTCTCCACAAAATGGGTTTTTCTTTTCTACCACATGGTCAGGTTACAAATTTTCTAAACTTTTATACTTTGCTTCCCTTTTAAATATAAATTACAGTTTCAGATAATCTCTTTGCTCATGTCTATGACCATATGCTGTTAGAAGCAGCCAGGCTATATCTTGAATGTTTTACTGCTTAAAAATTTCTTCCTCCAGATACCCTAAATCATCACTCTCATGTTCAAAGTTCCACACATCCCCAGGGCAGGGGCATAATGCCTCTAATCTCTTTTCTAATGTATAACAAAAGTGACTTTTGCTCCAGTTCCCAATAAGTTCCTCATCTCCATCTGAGACCCCCTTGGCCTGGACTTCATTGACCATATCACTATCAGTATTTTGGTCACACCAGTTTAACAAGTCTCTAGGAAGTTCCCTCATCTCCTCATCTCCTTGCCTTCTTCTGAGCCCTCCAGACTCTTCCAACATTTGCCTGTTACCCTGTTCCAAAGTTGCTTCCACATTTTCAGTTATCTTTATAGCAATGTCCCACTTCTTGGCACCAATTTTCTGTATTAGTCCATTTTCATATTGCTATAAAGAGCTACCTGAGACTGGGTAGTTTATAAAGAAAAGAGGTTTTATTGGTTCATGGTTCCACAGGGTGTACTGGAAGCATGACCAAAGAGAAACTTACAATCATGGTGGAAGGTGGAAGGTGAAGAGGAAGCAAGGCATGTGTTACGTGACCGGAGCAGGAAGAAGACAGTGAACAAGGAGGTGCTACACACTTTTATTTATTTGTTTATTTATTATTGAGATAAAATCTCACTCTGTCACCCAGAATGGAGTACAGTAGCGCCATCTCTACTCATTGCAACCTCTGCCTCCAGATTCAAGTGATTCTCTTGCCTCAGCCTTCCAAGTAGCTGGGATTACAGGCATGCATCATCACACTCAGCTAATTATTATATTTTTAGTAGAGACAGGGTTGCACCATATTGGCCAGGCTGGTCTTGAACTCCTGACCTCAAGTGATCTGCTTGCCTTGGCCTCCCAGACTGCTGGGATTACAGGCATGAGCTGCTGAGCCCAGCTGGTACACACTTTTAAGCAACCAGATCTTGTGAGAACTTCATTATCACAAGAACAGAGAAAGGAGAGTCTGCCTCATGATCCAATCACCTCCCAATAGGCCCTGACTCCAACACTGGGGATTACAGTTCAACATGAGCTTTGGGTGGGGACACAGATCCAAACCATATCACTCTGGGCCTGTAATAATTTCCCAGCTCACATCTGTACTCAAAGATGTCTCTCATTGCCTTGAGGTAGGAGGCGTTGATATTCCTGGCAGAGAGCAACACAAATATGAGAGAAAGCAATGAAGATTAATGTCTGTGGTATATTTGGTGCCCTGCCAGTCACTAGGTATGACTGAATAGAGTGCATGGCAGGATGCTGTATATATACTGTGATCAAGACCATTACAAAATATGGAATAGGATTGGGTGTGGTGGCTCACACCTGCAGTCTCAATGTATTGGGAGGCCAGGGGTGGGGTGGGCGTTGCCTGTGGTCAATAGTTTGAGATCAGCCTGAGAAACTTAGTGAGACCCTGTCTCTCCAAAAATAATGTTTAAAAAAATTAACTGGCACAACTTGGGAGGCTCAGGCAGGATGATCACTTGAGCCCAGGTGTTTCAGGTTGCAGTGAGCCATGACTGAGCCACTGTACTACAAACTGGGTGACAAACAGAGTGAGACTCTGTCTCTAATAAAAAAACAACCAACAAAATGCAGAATAGATGTAACAAAAACATTGGCAAAATGAATATCCATAGGCATATATGTGCTCGTGTGGGTGCTTGCCTGTTGAGAAAATGTGAGCTGTTTGACAATGGCTAAAGTTAGCTAAATCAATAGTCTAAAACCCACAGACATCAGAATTCCTGGAAAAAGTATTCACCAGCTAAACAATCTAAAAATACACCCATGGAAGATAATCTTGAAAGACAGCAGGCACAGGTCTAATTGAGATAAAACGAAACCAAAGCAGATGACTAGTCTATAAACCTGCTGAACCTGCATATATCCTGTGAAGACAGGGGTGTGGCCTGGTACTATCACAAAACCAAAGCCATATGATATAAACAGACAGAGCCTGGATTTTTTTTCAGAAAAGCCTCCACATTTAAACTATAGACATTGCTTGTCCTCCCTTCATCACCTCACACATGAGATTTGGCCACCCATACATTCAGGCAACAGATGGGAACTATCCGAATTTATGTACATAGTTAGAATCAACAAACATTAAAGTCTACATATGGCATCATTTGAAATTTCCACCAACTCTCTAAGATACTGGAATGATTCCTTGTCATACGAGGACATGTCGCTCTTTTTTTTTTTTTTTTTTTTTTTTTTTTTTTGAGATGGAGTTTCGCTCTTGTTACCCAGGCTGGAGTGCAATGGCGCGATCTCGGCTCACCGCAACCTCCGCCGCCTGGGTTCAGGCAATTCTCCTGCCTCAGCCTCCTGAGTAGCTGGGATTACAGGCATGCGCCACCATACCCAGCTAATTTTTTGTAATTTTTAGTAGAGACGGGGTTTCACCATGTTGACCAGGATGGTCTCGATCTGTTGACCTCGTGATCCACCCGCCTCGGCCTCCCAGAGTGCTGGGATTACAGGCTTGAGCCACCGCGTCCGGCCTGTCGCTCTTCTTTGATCGTTCCTCTCTCAGACCAAGACACAGTGCCTGCCCTCGGGATGCTGCGTATTTAGTGAGAAAGACGGACAGGCAAATCAGTGCCTATGAGGCTTTGATGAGGGTCTGAGGGGATGAGGCCTGGATGCTGACAGCATAGAAGGGAACTAAGTCACAATGTCAGGGAAGCTCCAGAGAAGAGACATTAAAAACAGACCGACCGGATGCTGCTAGGGAGGACTGTGCTAGGGACTTTGCATTTCTTGTTTGTTTTTGTTTAACTCTACTACAGCATAGTTTTTAAATATATTCTGCAACCTGAAGGAGTATCTTTTTTTTTTTTTTTTTTTTTTGAGACGGAGTTTCGCTCTTGTTACCCAGGCTGGAGTGCAATGGCGCGATCTCGGCTCACCGCAACCTCCGCCTTCTGGGTTCAGGCAATTCTCCTGCCTCAGCCTCCTGAGTAGCTGGGATTACAGGCACGCACCACCATGCCCAGCTAATTTTTTGTATTTTTAGTAGAGACGGGGTTTCACCATGTTGACAAGGATGGTCTTGATCTCTTGACCTCGTGATCCACCCACCTCGGCCTCCCAAAGTGCTGGGATTACAGGCGTGAGCCACCGCATCCGGCAAAGAGTATCTTTTAAGCAAAATTATATCCACTTAGAGAAGATTAAAAGTCATAGAAGATCTGTGAACAAAGGTATCACAAGACCAGGCACTATCAATGAAAGAGAAGAGGCAATATATATCCAAATATAAGGTAAGGTATCCCCCACCAAAAAAAGTCCCTCAGGAAAGACAAAGTTATCATGTGTAAATCCTTACAAAGTCTCCAATATCTTGAGGTGCCCTTTGATTTACCTTATTCTGAACAACAGTGTACCATTTGGGGGAACTTATATTCACCTAAAACAACTGCCATCTAGGCTAAGTTTGAGTGCTTATAGAAAACATCTCATGAAATTGGTAAAAAGCAAAAGCAAAGAAATTTAACACAAACGTAATAATTACTTTTGGGGCAATAACCTCACAATAGCAAGGGCTGGCCATTATATATGAGTTTTAAAAGGTCAGTTTTAAAAGCAAAATAATTTGTTTGGATATTATATTTCATGGTTGAGGTCATATAGAATATATTCAATAGTTATGTATTCTGCCTTTTCCACTTGACGTTCTTGTGTCAACATTTTGTACAAAATAAAAAATTATTTAACAATTACAAAAGCAATATAATATATAGTTATCCTGTGGAGCTCATGGATTGCTAACTATAGGATAAATGAAAAATCAAAACTGTTCTTTATAATAATGGACACATAGTTGGGATGCTTATAGTTATGATAAAATTTTATTATACATGGATGCAAGAAGTACTTTTATCAAACAACTTACTTAAATGCAAAGATGTACTCTGGAAAACTATTCAAAAATGTTTTGACTATTCAAAAATTTAGTTAAATGATAACAGAGACATTGCTGTTGAAAATGTCTGTGATTAGTTTGAAGAAATTGATAAAATGTGCATAAAAAAGCAAAAACAATAGAATATATAAATAATATATTAATACTTATAAATTAATATAAATTACTGAGTATAATTCTAAATCTGCATAAGTATAGTCATGAATTAAATGTTATTTAAAATTTCATCTACAGCTCTAAGTTTATATTTTATGATGGAAAATCCCTATCTGGGGTTTTTCTTTTTTTTTTTTGCCTCTTCTTATTGAGAAAATATGAATTTGGAATATGTGATTAATTAATTGCCCAATCCCGGTGGCGCATCTAATGGAGAGATAAGACTAGTAAGAAAAAAATAATTGAAGAATTCAGAAAATTACAGAGGCTTTGGTTATTTAACATTGAGGTAAAAAGCCCTTATACCCACACACCTACTTTATAGCAGAGAACAAATCTGGATCCTTAAAAATCCATAATAGTTTTCAATCTGCCTACAAGGTCTAACACCAATAACCTTAACACTGACATGCCTCCACAATTTGTCAACTAACCTACCATGTTTCCACACCTGTCTCTTAGTCTTAACCTCATGCATTCAATGTTGAGACAAATCACACCAAACAGTATTTCAGTGCTGGCCCCAAATGTCCAGCTTCTGTCCTTTTGCTCATGGTCTCTCTGATAAAATGGCCTTCCCCTCCTCTCCCCTGCCAAATGTCTGCATCCTGCCCATCTCCAAGATTCATCTCAAATACCACTTCATTAGTGTTTTCATATGTCTCAAGTAGAGTTAAACCTCTTTTTTGTAATCTGAAATACCAAAGGCTCAATACTGGTGGCCTTCCTGTGTGATTGAGAGTCAGGAGGTAGATTTTCAGCCGAGTCGTCTTAAGGTACTAGTGAGTGAGGGCAGTCCATATAATAATAATGAACCCTTAAAAAACACCAGAATAATGTTAATAATAGCTAACTCTAGCTCAAATTTTGCTATGTGCCAGGCACTCTTCGAGTTACTTTATATAAATTAATTCATTTGATCTTCACAAGAACTTCACGAAGCAAGTACAATTATATCTGCAGTTTAATAAAGAAACCACAGCCGAGATTTGGTAACTTACCCAAAGTGGTCCAGCTACAAGTGACAGAGCTGAGAAATGATGGACCTAACCATTGTGCTCTCCTACTTTAATGAGGACTACCAGAAAAAAGACCAGCCATGAGCAGAGAGACAGCCTGCTAAACTGAGGAATATGGAGGCACATGCATTTAGTTGGGGAAAGAAAAGGTGAAACATTAGGCAGGTAGGGATATAGCAAACTCGGGGCAGAGTAGGACCCTTCCGGTGCTTTCTTCCCACTCTGGGCCAATTTCAGGGTCCTAAAGAAAAACACCTCTGCCAAATGCATTGGAAGCTTCATGGCATTATAGGTAACTCATCACTTCTAAAATTACTAAGAAACTTGTCATATCTCCCTTATTAACCATATGGTCCTTGAGGACCTATGTTCAATTCACCTGCTGCAATATCTAGAACTCGATGTCGCACCTTGTAATTAATCAATAAAAAACTGTTAAATGTTTGCAACCACTAGTCCTCAGTTCAGTTACCTGTCTCTAAAAAGAAGACAGCTGTCCAAGTTATTTACGGAGATTCTACTCCAACACTTTTAAAATAATTCTCCATTATACTTTTCTTGATAACATTTCTTTCTGTTTTCTTATTGTCAGTCTCCCCCAACTATAAACTACATAAAGGCAGAGGTTTCATTCTTGTTTACTGATGTATTTCTGGTGCCCTAGAACAATGCCTGGCACACAAAAATAACTCAGTAAATATTCATGAGGTGGATATTTGAAAAAGAACGGGCTTTGAAGATGCTCACCAAACCCTTGTGGGCAGCCTTTGTTCTTGCCAGCCAACCTTGAGTAAGTGTACCAACGTGATTCCATTACCCTAAAAGCAAACACATGACACGGAGCACAAGGAAAAGAAAGGGTTTTGCTGGCAATTTCAGGAGGGAGTTAGGGAATGGAGGAGAGCATAAGCCTCACGCAGAGCACAGCACTTTGCTCTTCCCTAGATCTCCATCAGGCATCTCTGTCCCCAGCCAGCTCCTCGCCTGCCAGCTGGCCATCCCTCCACCCTCCCACAGTGTCACCCCTCCAGCATTGCAGGTTCCCAGCTGACATGGCTCCTGAATCTCTATATCCCCTTAGTATTCTGCTGAGCAATATAAAGTCTCCAGTTTACCTTCTCACACCTGTCATCTCTGTTGAGCAAAGGACACGTTCCCTTCAGATCCATCCTCCTTAGGAGGAAGCATGGAAATTAAAAATCATTTTCTCTTTTAAAAATATTGTTTTTTCTGTCAAATACCAAGAATTGAATTTGAATCCAAACTTTGTGATTTTGTAGTTGCGTTATCTCAGCCAAATTACATAACCTCTTAACTACCTAAGTCTTCTTATCATATAAATGTGGGGGTAAAAACCAACTTGACAGGGCTATTTTGAGAATTAAATGGGACAAAACAGACAAAAGCACCTTGTGCAAAGTAGGTATTAAAGATGTTAGATTAGCTGGGCATGGGGGAACATGCCTATAGTTCCAGTTACTTGGGAGGCTGAGGTGGGAGGATCACTTGAGCCCAGGAGGTTGAGGCTGCAGTGAGCTGAGATTATGCCATTGCACTCCAGCCTGGGCAACAGAGCGATACCCTGTCAGAAAGAAAGAGAAAGAGAAAAAGAAAGCAAGAAAAAAAGAACGAAAGAAAGGGAGAGAGAGAAAGAAAGAAAGAGAAAGGGAAAGAGAGAAAGAAAGAAAAAAGAGAGAGAAAGAGAGAAGGAAGGAAGAGAGCAAGAGAGAAAGGGAGAGTGTAAGAAAAGAAAAAGAAAGAAAGAAAGAGAGAAAGAAAAGAAAAGATGTTCCATTCTCTCTTTGTTCTTAAACTCTCAACTATCTAAAAGGACCCACGTACCAAAGGTTTTACAGGACAATAGGAACTCATCACCATTTAGAACATTATTTCTGTGGTACCAGGGGTTTGGAAGGCATAAACTACAGAGGGCAGTTCCTGTGGGCAGCAGTGGTAAGAGAAGGTGGGGAACGTTGCTGTTTTCTCTGTGTGTTTATATGTCAAAATTACTAAATAGGGTGAGCTGCATGAACATGTGTTAAAGCAGCTACTCAAAAATGTCCACGGTACCAGTCAGCCTT